TTTATACTTAGGGAACCAATTTTCGACGTATCTTTACAATATTTCTTGTAAAGAACGATTTGTTCAGGACTCCAGTACATCACGAAGAACTTATCACTCCCAATCTCTCAAATGGTCCCTACAAATTCGGGGCGATATTTTAATTGATACACCGATTCATGAAGGTCGATGCCTTTACGAAGCCCTAACTCCCGGTCACTTTCCGTTTGCTTAGCCTTGCGTAAAACATCTTCGCTGTACAAATGCGCGGGAACTTTGTCGCCAAACTTCATGAGCTCGTTAGCCTTCTGTCTCCGTCAAGCATACGTCGACTGGCCAGTAACTTCTTTAGTAATTTTTTTTCTGAGTTCTCCTCGTAGTTGGCGCTTCTTGTTATGCTGAACGTCTCTTGTATCACATGTTGATACATGGAGTATGATACCATCTTCGGTTGGTTTGTCTAAAGCGTACAAATTAATTTCAACACTACATTCAGTACATGAAACTTTAATGCACAAGTACAGTTCCCCGGGATTCTCGTTAACTTTTGGAATTTTAAAGGTGTTCGAGTTGCGCCCTCTCAAAAAGAGCGCTACCGCCGCGACGACCACTCTCGTGGCATTAGTACGAACGCTTGCATATATAGAGTCTCGTCTAGAAGGTTCGACAAGATAGATTAACCACTGTATCAGTTCTTTTTGCATTAAAAGTCTTATAGTTATAGAGCTTATCTGGATTGTGATTCCTTTATCCGATTTCCCGTCGATTAAGAGTATCGGTGGCAACAAAAGGCATAGCAACACGGCAACTTATGTTCTCGCCATAATTGCTCTTGAAGTACGTCAGTCCAGCCAGGTTGTAAAGCTTTATAATTTCGATCTTTGTACGATACAGCACGCACTTAAATACTATACCAGTCATCGCGTGAAATAGTGATTGTTGCTCTAAGTGTTGGCAACAATTCATGAGACGCACTCATTGACCAATTTGAGTCCTTACTGCAATTTCCTTCTGAAATAGATATTTCAGGATTTCGCTCAATACCGTGCCATTTTCTGAGCATATCCTGAATTTTGTGATCATTCCGAGAGATATACAAATATATATGCTTGGTTGACATTTTATTTTGCATTTGTACGACTGCATCATTCCAAACTTTGTGTGATAATGGTTTTAATTCTCCAGTATCATTGAAAAACATTAAATCTTTTACTGAGTCGAAAATAATGTTCACAGAAAATTTTGCCGCACGCGGCATTTTTTTATAAATCCCTCTGCGGAGTTACAAAACTTAAATCAGTAAAATCTTATGATTAGAGAACCAAAACTGTTAAAGTTATTATGGTTTGAAGTGGCTTCTGTAATGTTTTATACAATTTAATAATGTGAGTTGATATTAGTAAAGAGATAAAATAGTCTATAAAAAAAATCTGTAAATTAGTATCACGAGACACGGTAGTGTCTCGCGCCAAGTGTAAGCGCAGCTAGCACCGCGCGCGCGAGACCGACCGTGTAAGTTCACGCGAGTACACGAGTTGACGGGCCCTCAGAATTTCGAATCTCAACAACGGCTGTTCCGACGAAGTTGAGACTGCGCTTAATCGATAGCTTGGGTACGATTTGCATAATAAAAGTATTTTTACTTTTCTCCTACGTGCCCCATGAGTAGAGATATTGCAATGCAAAGTCCACGGGTCTGAATTTTCACGTAATTTTTTTAAGAAACGTCGTCATCGTCGTCGTCGTTGTGGTCGTGGTCAACCAGGCCAAAATCCATTTCACTTTTCTGTCGCAACGTCGCGTTGGCGCTGCTGACGTGACTGATTACCGACATTACCGATGTTACCGACGATGACATTATATAATTTGAATTCAATGTCCACGTGTCCCAAGTTGCCGTTAATACATTGAACTCGATGTCCAGGTGTACCAGGTCGCCGATGACGACGTCCAGGCAGTGCGCCCCGTACTTTTCGGTGTCTAGGTGTATTAATACCTTGAACTCGATGTACACGTGTCCCAGGTCACCGATGACGACGTCCACATAGTGCGCTCCGTAGTTTTCGGAGCCTAGGTCTATTAATACCATGAACTGGATGTCCACGTATCCCAGGTCGCCGATGACGAGGTCCAGGCAGTGCGCTCCGTAGTTTTCGGTGTCTAGGTATATCAATACCTACGCGGGTCGACCGACCAAGGAGGACGGCCGAGGTACGCCTACGCGACCTCGACGACTCCTTGGGCGTCGAGGAGGTGAAGGGGTGGGTGGCGGAGGCCGGCAATTGTGGTGCCTCTGACGTGTAGTGCGGAGCACTGCAGCCGGCCGCCGGGGGCAGCCACAGCCTCTGGCTGCGCCTGCCCCTCACCTCAGCGTTGGAGCTCACCCGGAAAAGGAGGATCCGGGTCGGCTGGGGGACGGCCCGTGTGGACCCTCTCGAGGCGCGCCCTATAAG